AGGGCCTGTCTCCATGCTGTAGGACTCTATGACTTTCCCTCCATTATAAGGTCAGCAGTGGGAGATGTGCACCAATTATTACTCAATGCTGACTTAGCTGTTTCTTCTTAGTTATGGTCCTGCGAGCTGTGAAGCTTTTCCCCTTGACCACTCACACAACTGAGAGCTTAGGTATTTTCAGTCTTTTAATAATCTGCAAAACTTTACCTAAATACACCTCATCTGAAAGTTTAAAAGTGCATTCACTGAGGTTTTTTTTAATTAACTGGTGGGACATGTGTGTCACTGGCAGGACATGTGTCACTGGCTTCTCTGTCCCTAGCTGCCCTTGAGAAGGTGGTGGTGAGCTTCCTTCTTGAACTGCTGCAGACTATGTGCTGCAGGTAGACCCACAAAGCTATTAGAAATGAAATTCCAGGATCTTGACTCAGCGACACTGAAGGAATGGTGATATATTTCCAAGTCACGAAGACCAGTGGCATGAAGGGGAGTTTACAGGTAGTGGTGGTGTTCCCATGTATCTGCTGCCCTTGTCGTCTAGATGGAAGAGGTTGTGGGTTTGGAAGATGCTATCCAAGGATCTTCAGTGAATTTATGCAGTGCATCTTTAATGGTAAACACTTCTGTTACTGAGCCTCAGTGGTGGAGGGACTAAATGCTTGTGGATGTGATGCCATTCAAGTAGGCTGTTTTGTCCTGGATGGTGTTAAGCTTCATGAGTGTCACTGGAGCTACACTCATTCAGGCATATGGGGCATATTCCATCACATGCCTGACTTGTGCATTTAGATAGTGAACAGGCTTTGTGGAATCATTCGCAGTAATATTTCTAGCTTCTGACCTGCTTTTGTAGCCACGGCGTTTGTGTGGCGAGTCCAGTTGAGTTTCTGGTCAATGGTAACCCCAGGATGTTGGTAGTAAGGGATTCAATGATGCAACACCATTGAATATCAAGGAGCGGTAGTTAGATTGTCTCTTACTGGAGATGCCTGGCATTTGTGTGGTGTGATTGATACTTGCCACTTATCAGCCCAAGCCCAGATATTGTCCAGATCTTGTATCATTTGAACCCCGGACTGTTTAAGTATCTGAGGAGTCACAAATGATGCTGAATATTGGATTGTTGAACAAGGGATTCGAATCTACAAACACTGCGCAAACACACTTTATTTTTGGTCACAGTTATTATTATATGTCTTGTAAGCAAATAAAATTTATGATTAGAGTATTCGGTAAAGTCCTCGGGCAAATTTAAACTCCAATGACTTGGATATACATATATACAGCAAGTTAAACTGAAGGCTGCTGCAGCAGAGAATGCAGAGTGGATCCAGCTGTTCCTTGTGGCTATTGCAATCGTGTCCTGCTAGGTCCTACAATGTGGTGAGCTGCTTCAGCGATGAGGTGGGTGCAGGATTCCAATGGCCCAGGATTCCTTACAGCAGCTTCTGCAGTATCTTCGGTGGTATGGAGGGTCCGGCCAGCCTGGGATTGCTTACGGCAGTCTCGGCAACTTCTTCAGCATCGTGATGCGTCCGGCCCCAGATTCCTTATGGCGACTTTTGATGGCCTCAGCGTCGACTTCTGGCGGCGGTCTGGGATTGCTTGTGGGATCTTCAATGTCAGGTTTCCTCGACCTCAACAACCTTGGAGGTGTGAACTGAGCGAAGATGGACTTTGTCTTAATTTTTCTTTTTCTTTAATATACATAATGTTATTAAAATGGCACCAGAGTACTGCAGCATAAACACTTTTCACAGATTTTTTTGTAAAATAATACAACTGACAATAAATTGCTATTCTATCCTACATTATGCAGTCATTGGCGAATATCTCCACTTCTGACCTTACTATGGAGGGAAAGTCATTGATGAAGTGAATGACTACAAAGTTAAATTTTAAAAAATAAACAAATCAAAATACAATCTCAGGCCAGATTTCATTCTGAGACCTTACTTGTTCAGTCATATCAACAGCTGGGACAATAACAATATGACTAAGGGAAACCTTGCTGAGAACAAATATGCAACAATTACAGATAACTATCAACATTCTCTTTTTAAAGAAACCGCTTATTGCGACAAAACTGGAAATAAGACCATAAGACATAGGGGCAGAAGTTGGCCATTCATCCCAAGAAGTGCGCTCTGCCATTCAATGAGATCATGGCTGATCTGATAATTGTTACTCCACTTCCCTGCCATTTCCCCATAACTCTTGATTCCCTTACTGGTTAAAATTCTGCCTATCTCAGCTTTGAATATACTTAATGACCCAGCCTTGAAAGTCTTCTATGGTAAAGAATTACGCAGATTTGCCAGCACCTGATTCTGCGTGACCCCTTATTCTGAGATTATGCCCTCTTGTCCAAGACACTCCCACAAGGGAAAACAAACCCTCCCTGTCAAGTCCCCGAAGAATCTTGTAGATTTCAATAATTTTCTCATTATTCTGATACATGGACAAGGGCTCCCAAATTCCTCCGTTCTGTAGTTTTCTATAGTCTGTCTCCAATTAAATAATGAACAAAAACAAAACCAAAATTGCTGGAAACGCTCAGCAGGTCTGGCAGCATCTGTGAAGGAAGAAAACAGAGTTAACGTTTCAGGTCCAGTGACCCTCCCTCAGAACAATTAAATAATATTCAGCTCTTCTATTCTTCTTGTCAAAGTGTATTACCTCACATTTTCCCATATTTTATGCCATCTTTCAAGTATTCGACCGCTCAGGTAACCTGTCTTTATCCCTCAGCAGAATCTCTGTATCACCTTGGCCCCTTGCCTTCCCACTTGTTTTAGTGTAATCTGCAAACTTGGCTATAAATATTAATTTTTTAAAATTAGATCATTAATACATTTTATAAATAATTGTGGCCCAGCACTGATCCCTATCGCAACCTGCTAGTTACACATTGCTACCCTTAAAATAGTCCCCTAATATCAAATCTGTCTTTTCTTGGTTTGCAAATCCTCTATCCATGTTAACATAATACCTCCAACAAACACTATGAGCTCTTATCTTGTTAGACAGCATAATGTAACCACACTATTTAAAAGGGGCTAGACAGAAAAAGGGCCAATTAGCCTGACATTAACGGTGGGGCAAGTGCTAGAGTCCATTGTAAAAGATTTAATAGTGGTGCACTTGAAAAATGGTAGCAGGATCAGGCAGAGTTGGCATGGATATACAAAGCGCAATTCATGCATTGTGATTATCTTAATGTAGGGCTCTTGTGGTGTGGTGGTGTCCCTATCTCTGGTCCAGGAGGTCTGGTTTCAAGTTCCACCATCTCCGGAAACACATTGTAATGCATGTAATCTGCCCCCAAACGAGGCAGTTATAGAGAGAGAGAGAGGACCATAAGCTTGGTTAGCCTCAGAAAATCCATATTGCAGTCACTCTGGAGTTGAGTAAAACCACTGATGACATTGCTCTCTAAGTTTTAGCTGACATTGCACCCTACATCCAAATTTCACCCATTCTCTAGCGCAGACCTCCTGTCCTCAATTCAGCAGAAAAGTCACAGAAACTAGTTAACTTGTTCAATTAAATAAGAAAACACAGTCAATAGAAACACTATTCTAGAGCTGACAAAAACAATATGATACAGAACAGGATCAAGTGAGTACAAGCCAAATTGTCATTAAGCATTAAGAGAAATGAATTAAACAACTGAATAAACAACACTAATGAGAAATAAATTACTGGAAAAAAGGATACTTAAAATCTAAGTTTGGGTTCATCACAAGTTGAAGGACACATACCCAAATGTTAGGTCTGACCCATCTATTGCATTAACCTGAGCTGATAAATTATATTTATCTGGCATACACTATAATGAATTACAAATGATAATTTATTTTGTATGTTGCCAGCTAGCTTTAGTTAAATTGATTTAACTAAATTGATTGATAGGCAGATTCATATTCCCAGAGCTAGCAAAGGTCAACTCTATTGCTTAATCTCAATTCGCCTGTGTTTTGCTTGAGTAATAATGCAATGCAAATAAGTATATTCGTATAACTTTTAAAATTTCCAAGGATATTTAATATATATATATCTGCATTATATATCATGTTATTTGATTATACCACCTCGTTACCAACAAACATAGGCACCATTTCAAGCTGGAAATACTTAAGCAAAATATCACAAGAAAAACCCAAGTTTCAGGGAAATGACTTCAACATGATGTCTTTTTTTATTATTTTGTGGGGGCTTGCCACCACTTGTTGCCCACTGCTAGCCCACTTCATTAGACAATTAAGAGTCAATCACATTGCAGGGTTCTAGAGTCATGTATAGAACAGACCAAGTAAGGACATTTAATGGCTATGCATACCATTCATTACAAATGATTGCCATTAGACAGTTTTTTTGTTTTATATCAGGATTTTTAGGGAATTCAAATTTCCATGATCTGCCATTGTGGGATTCAAACCTCTATGTCAAGGACTAAAGACTGCCAGTCCAGTGACTTCACCGTTATGCCAGCGCTGGAGCTAGATGTCCCTGACATCCTGCAGATAATAACAACAAGGCATCTTTTAAATTATTTTGGTAGGTTTCCTGTTCCAGTCAGGCTGGTGGATATCTGGGTGGGAGTGCAAGCCCCAGTGGGCTACATGTGGGAAGCAGAAAGAAGGGTGGCGGTTGATTGTAAGGTGAGCTGATAGCAATATTGTTTTAAGGGGAGGGATTTAGAGAGACGATGGGGACAAGGCAGCATGCGCTGGTACAGACAGATCAGAGAGGAGGTGAAAGCTAGTAAATTCACCTCCGGGCCCACAAACAACAACTTGTTGTTTTGTTTGAAGTTTCCAGCATCCGTAGTTCTTTGTTTCACTTAAATACTGTCAATGCCTTTTTCTAACCGACGCAGCCCTTCCCACATACATTCACCACAGGAATAGGTCCGCAAGAAGGTCATCGACTCCTGCGCACGCGCACTTCCGCCGCCACGCTTGGACGGTTTTTTTCGGCGGTTTTCCAGTGCGCATGCCCCGTGCCAACACCGATACGATGGTTAGCTGAAGCGCGTGCTCCGTGCCAACACTGGTGTTGGACTGTTGGGTGAAGCGCATGCTCTGTGACGACTCTCCCGGTTTGACTGCTTTTGGCGGGATCCCCCCCTTGACTGTGTCCCGGTTTCCTTCGCTCCCTGATTCCGTTCGTCATGGTGGAAGGGCCTGGTTGTACACTAAATGGAGAGAAGATCAGGAGCCGAGTGAAGAAAGGGCAGCGAGTTGTGGAGCTGAGGGGGAATGTGGTGAGTGAAGGGGCGGTGGGTATCAATATAGATTCTGTCAGTGCCAGGGCGGCATGGATAGGGATAGTAGGAACTGCCGATGCTGGAGAATCTGAGATAACAAGGTGTAGAGCTGGATGAACACA